AAAAAAAAAAAAAAGAAAAAGAAAATGTACTCCTTAAGGATTCATAGACTCCTCAGTTTTTTTGAAATCCTATAATAGAAACATGTTAACTGTTGATAGAAGGAAGCTTGAAGCAGTTGGTAGAAATGGGCTCCATTTTTATATACTGTTCTTTTTCTCTATAGGTTGCCGATCAGCTCTGTGCCAAGTACAGCAAGGAATATGGCAAGTTGTGCAGGACCAATCAGATTGGAACTGTGAATGACAGGGTAATGAGTGTACTTGGTAAACGTGAAGCAATGAGTGGGTGGAAAGAGGTTATTTTATTGCCTGTAGTGATGCTAGTGGATACCATTGTAAGGCTCAGTTAATCTAGGAAAGCACATTGTATTGTGAGGTGAGAAGAATAGCTCACAGTTGACTGGCAGTACAGTCAACTCCTTACCCCTGCCCAGCAATTCTAATTGTGATGTTTCTGTCATTGCTGACTTTTCCATCTTCCTTACTCCTTGTGATTTGTAAAGGCAGGAAGTGGGGGTCGGAGGGAGAAGCGTGGATGAATTGAAATGTGGAAGGCCGCAGTGTTGGTCTTTTACCAACACTTGGTCATGAGTAACTAGAGAATGTTAGAGACATGGGTGCTGTGACATGCCTTGTGATTCTGAAAAAAAAAAATCACTTGACTGCTCTGAGCCTCTTTTTTTCTCAACTTTACCTATAAAATGGGAAGAACTAGGTTTAAATATTGAGACAGGTTAGGATTAGGCTGGTTGATACAGATGCATCTTAACCATGGGTCTTTTACTTATAGCTAATGCACAAACTGAGTGTGGAGGCCCCGCCCAAAATCCTGGTGGAGAGATACCTAATTGAAATTGCCAAGAATTACAATGTACCCTATGAGCCTGACTCTGTGGTCATGGTAAGTTCATACCAGAGTGCAAAGGAAAATGAGTTTCTAAGTATGACCTTCTTTGAAAAAAATAACCGTATTCTTTGTACTAACTTAAATTTGTGTATGTGAATTTAAGCCTTGTCCAGCTACTCCCTTTTTGGGTGACAGTGAATATGCCTGTGTCATAGGGTACTTCAGAATCAGATTAGATTTCTGCAGGCACTTTGAGAAGGTACAAACCTTGTTAGAATGTAAAATGCTGTCATTATTGTTGCTTTTCTGTGAACTTCTAGGAATTGAGAAAATCCCTCTTTGGATAGCAACAAATGTCTCAAGACCTAAACAGTAGGGTTAGGGTACCCACTGTGTACCAGAGAATGCCCCGAAGGCTGAGAATACAGAGATACTTAACAAGTTCTCTGTCCCAGGAGGCCTATAGCGCTACATCTAAGGAGGGTAAAATTCCCAAACAAGAATCATTAGCAGTTAAAGTGGATGGTGTGTGTTGGATACTGGTGTGCTGCTTGCACCCCTTATCTCTCATTGAGGCTACCCTATAGGCCCATCGCAGCTTTGTTGAGAGTACATGGCAACCTGTCTTTCCAACTAGCCAACTCTGCTTCCTCACTTTCCCCACAGAAGTTGATCATTAGAACACTCTCCAATAAACTTTTTTGGACAGGGGCTGGGTTTGAACCCGCCACCTCCAGCATATGGGGCTGGTGCCCTACCCTACCCTTTTGAGCCACAGGCACCTCCCCAATAAACTTCCTTAATCTCCATCTCAGAGTCTGCTTCCTGGGGAACCTGGCCTTGGACATGGACTAATGATAGAGGTTTCTCTCTCTCTCAGGCAGAAGCTCCTCCTGGTATAGAGACAGATCTTATTGATGTTGGATTCACAGATGATGTGAAGAAAGGTGGCCCTGGAAGAGGAGGAGGGGGCGGGTTCACAGCACCAGTCAGTGGACCTGATGGAACAGTGCCCATGCCCATGCCTATGCCCATGCCATCTCCAAATACACCTTTCTCATATCCACTGCCAAAGGGACCAGTAAGTATACATATAAGTAACTGGATATAAGTTTTATGAAATGTTACAGGAGATGACAAATCAGTTCTGTGAATATACTTAGGATCATTTAGCAGTAAGAACATTTGGAATTAGCTTAGTGATGATCACATTGTGGAAAAAATAGCACTAGGACTCAAAAGTCTTGGCTCAGCTATAGGTAATAAAGTGGGAAAATCAAATCTAGAGAGATGGTGCTGGAGAAACTCTTTCTTTGGGTTTACTGATGATCTCTTGGCCCTGTTGCAGTCATGTTAGTAGCTTTTTCCGCAAACAAATAAACTACCATATATTACCAGGCAGAAGAACTTCTACATAGACAAGAAATAGGAGGTCATTACTAGTATGGAAGTCTGATTAGAATTTTTTTTTGTAGACGATGAAGCATTTGATTTAGTAATTTGAAGAATAGCTATTGGCTGTAGATCTTTAAAAATCTGGAATCCTTCCAACCACACATGGTCCTTTTTGGGCATCTTGAATATTATATGTACTTCCCCCTTCCCGTACACAAACTCAGAGTTAGGGAGCAGGGTCTCTGATGTTGCCTTTCTCCTCTTGCAGTCGGATTTCAATGGATTGCCAGTGGGGACTTATCAGGCATTTCCCAATATTCATCCACCTCAGATACCAGCAACTCCCCCATCGTATGAATCTGTAAGTGCCTGAGCCTCTTTGTAAGCAACAGGAGAGAGAATCCCATGAAGAGAGTGCAAAATAATGACCACAGGGAAGGCAAAATTTTGATCAACTCCTAATACCAGCATTGCTCTTGCTTTGGGATTCTTGTGTTGCTTTAATGCTATCCTGGAAATGGGAAGTGGTGGTGATGGCAGCGTCATTGGTGGCAGTGCTCTGTTTGTTTAATTAAGCCAGGAATTGGGAAAGAGCTGCAGGTCTCTTAAGAGAGTTGTTGTACCCTACAGTGGCACTTAGGTTTTTTATTTTATTTTGCTTGCTAGGCATAAAATCACATTGACTAATAGTCTTGGTACTAGAATATCATAATTATTAAAATAGCATTGTTGGTGTGCCACCTGTAGTTAAGTGGCTAAGGCACCAACCACATACACCAGAGCTGGTAGGTTCGAATCCAGCCCAGGCCTGCCGAACAACAATGAAAACTACAAACAAACAAAAAAATAGCCAGACGTTGTGGTGGGTGCCTGTAGTCCCAGCTACTTGGGAGGCTGAGGCAAGCGAATCACTTAAGCCAGGAGTTGGAGGTTGCTGTGAGTTGTGATGCCATGGTACTCTACCCAGGGCGACAGCTTGAGGCTCTGTCTTAAAAAAAAAAAAAAAGGTATTGTTAAAAGTTCTCAACACTTCTGTTAAAAGTCTGGTCACTATTCCTTTATATAAGAATTTAGGGCTTGGAGCCTGTGGCTCAAGTGGCTAAGGCACCAGCCACATACACCTAAGGAGGTGGGTTCGAATCCAGCCCAGGCCCACCAAACAACGATGGCTGCAACCAAAAAATA